GCCCGCCTGGACCAGGCTGCCCAGATGCGGGCGCCACTCTGCCTGCTGCTGCTCGTCGCCCACGCGGTGGACATGCTCGCCCTGAACCGAAGGAAGAAGCAAGGTACAAGGCGCGACAGGGCAGGCACTGCGGGCAATCGGGATGTCCCTGGGGGCCTCTGCCTGTTGCCTGGTTTCTGGGCTAGTCACTCCTCCAGGTAAACGTCAGACCCAACTGACAGATGGGGAGAGTGAGGCGCCAGGCACCTGGTAAGAGAGCCATTGAGCAAGCGGGACCTGATGGATCTCCAAGGAGGAGAGAGACCCGCAGGACTTGCTCCCTGTCACCCCTGCCCCTCCCCTAAGGTAGCAACTCTGAGCCAGCCTGGGGGATCAGGGACTAGGAGACAGTGGTTGAGAAGCCATCCTAAGCATTCACGTGGAGTCTGGAGGTGACATCTAGAGCTCTGGTCTGAGAATCCAGATGTCCCACTCCCAGCCTCATCACACACCCTGACTCATGGTGTCACCTCCCAGAAGACAGTGATCCCCGGTTGGGCCTCCTCTGGTGAGCTGAGCCAGATGTGAGACCTGAGTTCAAGTTCACTTATTCTGGGATTGACCTGGAAGGAATTCAGTGCCTCCAAGAGCCTCAGTCTTTCCATCCTTCCTCCCAGGGCCACTAAGAAGAAGGACCAAGGTTCAGATTCTAAAGGGGGGGGGGCCGGCTATGTGCAGGGTCACCTCAGGGTCCTATCCCAAGTCTCTCACTGCTACAGTCAGATCTGCAGGAGGTGACAATGGGCAGAGTCAATTAGCAGAGGAGAGCGGAGGAGAGCAGAGCAGCGAATGTCACCCCTGAGCCCTGGCGCCCCAGGGTGCCTGTCTGAGAATGAGCTGGCAAGTGCCGGCCAGTGTGCCGAGGGTGCTCCGTGCGCTGTTTCGTGGAATCCCGACTACATCCTGCGTCAAAGGCGTCATCTCGTTTTATAAAGCAGGGGACCCGAGGCTCCGTCGGGTTAGGCGGCTAAGCTCCCCAGCACCTGGTGGATGCCGTGATTTCTGTCTCTCCAGCTCGGGCCTGAGCTGGGGAAGAGGGGGAGACAGGTTGCCCTGGGGCGGGCCTCTCGTGCTGTGCGGACTCCATCACTCCTGGAATGCAGCAGGAAGGAGGGGGCTGTGGAGAGCCAGTGGGGTGCACAGCAGGCTCCAGCTCCAGCAGGGGCTACACAGAGATGACAGGCAGGGGGCGGAGAGATGGGTGGCCTCAGGCACGCTGGGGAGACTTGGGAGCTTCTGTGGCATCCCTCTTGAATGGCCTTTGTCAGTGACTCAGAGCCATGGACTCTGAAACCTGGGTTCAGATCCCCGTGTCCCCAGCTGCATACCCATGGAGAGGTCACCTGGCTGCTCTGAGCCTCAGTTTACCCACCTGAAGGTCCTGTAGGACACCTCTAAGAGCCTTCTCAGTTGTTAAAAATATATATGTGTTTAAAAAAAAAGAAAGCTTTCTCCTCCCAGACTCATCTTTAAAATGGGAATAAAAATAATTTTAAGACCAGGGGCAGTGGCCCACTCCTGTCATCCCAGCCTCTCGGGAGGCTGAGGCAGGAGGATGGCGAGTTCAAAGCCAGCCTCAGCAACCGTGAGGCCCTAAGCAACTCCGTGAGACCCTGTCTCTAAATAAAGTGTCAAAGAGCCCTGGGATGTGGCTGAGTGGTTAAGCGCCCCTGGGCTCAATCTCCAGTATTAATAATAATAATAATAATATAATTTTTTAAAGTATCCGACTCCTCAGGAAAACGGTGGGTGAGTCTAAACCAGTGAGTGTACACAGTCATTCATTCACTCGTTCATTCAGCAAGTGTGACAGGGCAGCCTCTGTGCCAGGCCCTGTGAACGCCAAGGTGAACACCCCCGGACCTGCTCCGAAGGCTGCCAGGCTGCAGGGACAGCCCTGCCCTCGCTTCCCCGCTCTCCCCGCAGTGCCACAGCCTGTGACCTCATTCGAGAGGTCAGGGGGAAGGGCTGGCAGGACCCGCAGCCTCCCCATCTGAGCCTTCGCCCTTGGGGCCTGGCTCCCGCAGACCCGAGCCTCCTCGGAGTCCCACGTCACTGTTCCTTGATGAAACCCAATTTTTCTGTTTCGAAGACAAAAAAGAATGAAAGAAAAGGCTTGAGAAAGGTTCTTGGATCTCAAGTGTCTCTTACAAAACATTTTGATTAATTAAGTAGAAATGAATAAGAACCAGATGGGGACGTTTCTCTTGAAACGTGCCGGGGTGTCCTGGCCGTGCGACAGGCAGAGTGAGGGGCTCTGGTTTGTATCCCCTCCCCTCAGATCTGGAGCTCAATTTAGGGGATGAGGAGAAGCCAGACTGTGACTAACTTTCCCCAACATCCCAGGCCTGCAGGCGAGAGGTCCCCGTGTCCACAGGCGACTCTTAGATCCTTCTAGACCTGAAGCAGCCGGGGCAGAGGGAGGAGCCCTGGAATTCAGGTAGATGGGGATTCACACCCTGAGCCCTCCCGCCCTCGCCCTGTGATCTTGGGGAGGCCACACACCTCTCCATCTGGGAAATGGGAGCCGCTGTACCTGCCTCTGGGCGGTTGGGAAGATTTAGCACTGGCCCAGAGGGAAGGTTCTAGAAGGCACCCAACGGGGGCTTCACAAGGATTCGGCCACTTCCCATCTGACAGCAGAATGGGATGCACATGGCTGGGCGGAGGGGCGTCCCACACCGGTTGAGTCACCTGTGTCTCTGGCTCATTTTGCGACGTCACACAAACCTTCATTCTCTCTGAGCCTCTTTTTCATGTACCGTGAAATCACGGGCCCTGGAGGCCTGAGAGGAGGACAGCAGGTGACACTTCTGTGCACAGTGCAGAGCCTGTGTGCAGAGCCAGGAGGTCCCCACTGTCAGTTGTGGATAAAGCAGGGACCGACACCTGGGCAAGCAGGTGTCTAAAGGCAGAGCTGGGAACAGGTCTTCAGGCCTGGCCATGACTGGGCACAGAACGAGGTGTGTCCCCTGGATGCTGACACCCAGCCAGGTCCAGGTGCACATCAGCAGCTATAGGGCCGAGTAGAGGGGGTCACCTGGACAGCAAGGGCAGGGCAGGCCGTCCTGTCCCCCGAGGGCAGGGTTTCTTTATGAATTGGTCCAGGCGAGAGCTGGAAAGCAGATACTCCACACGGGCTCCAGCTCCCCCTCCCTCTGAAGCCAAGCAAAGGGGGTGCTGCTCCTACTCCTGCTGCTGAGCCCTGAGGGGCGCGCCTCCCTCTCCCAGGGATGGAAGCTGTCCAGCTCCTGAGCTCCTTGAGTGTGAATCCTCACTCGGTCACAGCCTGGTGTGACACCCACTTCCCGGACGTAAGAGAGGCTCGGAGAGGGGCCCTGGCCTGCCCTGGAGCTCACAGCAGCGGAGCTGGGCCCTGG